AGACTAGAATAATAAAGTCTAGCTAATGAGATGAGTGTTTTCAAGCACCACTACACCATAAGTGAGATATACATAGTGGGATATCCCAGGCAGTGAATCCTGAAAAAATGAAAAAATAAATAAAGGTCATTGGCTCAACTGGGCAAGGAAACCTGTGCAGAAAAATCAGAGCCACATTCTAAGAGTTCAGGAAAAATGGTGCTCTACCCAAGACCACTTGAGCAAAACCAAACAAGAAGTATTTTTGGAAGACAGAAATTAAATTCCCCACCTGCTTATGGTCTTCAATCATCAACAGATTTCCAATAAAATGTATGCAGAATCCACCCCTTCCTAGATTTGAAAAGTCTCAAGATTTTGGTTATATAGACATTCACAATAGTGGATAGTTTGACATAACGTATGCAGTCAATACAATTTATTAAGATATTGACATCTAAATTCAACATTGTATAACCCACAAATTGGAAACATGACAAACAACATTTCTACTTGATTTTTAACTCGTATTACTGTTAAATTGTGTATCTACATATATATCTATATTTATATGTGAATCAATTGTCAGAAAAATCAATGGCTTAGATATCCACTTATTTTTAAGAAGTGTTTCATGTTGAACAAAATTCAGCAACTAATCATCATCACTTTTGAAGTAGACTACTATTTTCAAAACAGTTACCGAATTATCTTGACTATCTCACTCTTCTTTGGAGTTTGTTTTGGTAAGGATTATTCTGTGGGTGATATTTTACTGAGAATGATGGAAATGGTAAGGAACAGCTCCTTCTAGGTCAAGGATGACAGAGCAATTGACTGATGACTCGTCTTGTGTGGAAACAAAATGCTGACGGATTAGCAGCAGCATTTTTCTCAGAGAAGAAATTCAAATCTTTTGCATATCACTCCTCCAACAACTTCTGCACCTCCAACTTCCTTGTAAGTCTAAAAAAGCTATCATTTTGGCAAAAAATAATTTTTAGTAATTTTCAAAAACAAGCTAAAAAAGAACGGTCAATGCCCATTGATGAGTTCTTCCGGGGGGAGGGGGGCAGTCAAGGGGGTCCCGATTCAATTCTGCTAATTAGAAGCAAGTGCATTTGGTTTACATTATATTCTAAAAACAATTAAAAACAGACTAACCAATTTTGACACAGCATGGGTTTTCAAATAAAGCAATGGGAACTTTTAAAATAAAAATCTAGAGTGGAATACTGTACTATCAGGAAGCGTCTGATCTTTCTATGATCATATATATATATATATCAAACTGAATTTTCTGCTTCCACTTACTCACTTAAAAAGCAATTTTAGTAACTTCCATAGGTAATGTTTTTAATGTTAAAAAAAAAAGTGTCTTTGTGCCAGGCTGCAAATCTTCTATTCTTTCCATGATAATGAAAATAAAATGCAAGACTAAAACAATGTCAAATCTCACTCTAAAAATAGTACCTATGTTTTAGTCTGGCAAATGAAAAATGATGCCCACATATGCCCACACCACATACAATAACAAACTGGAAGACTTCAAGGGCAAACAAAAACACTCTTTATGAACACTGTGAAACATGCTTGCTCTTACACCTCACACCTTACTAATATAGCAGTGAAGTCTGTGTAAGATGCTGGAAGTGAAGAGAGATTTCATTAGGCATTTTTTTCCCCCCACAGTAACATTTACTTTTTGGCCATAAGACCCTAAACACATTTTCACAGTTACAGGTCATGCATAACTTGCAAGTCGAATGTTTTACAGCTACTGTGCAACTACTATTTTTGGACAATAAATTCACATGCAGCAAATGATCCCAGAAAAGGGGCTTCATAAAGCACTCTAAGCTTCACTGATCGTGCTTTGACCCAAAGTATCTAAGTAATAACCCCAAAGGGCAATCAATGAATTTTTACTATCATACTTGAGATCATATACTTTTTAAATCCAGAAAGGTTTGTTTTAGTCAACTGCATGTTACTACTAAACCACAAACTGTCTTAGCCTTACTGTTACTCCTAACACTCTGATGCTAGATATCATTGTACAACCATCCAGAATTGTGCTATCCAATGTGCTAGCCACTAACCACATGAGCTACTAAATTTAAATAACTTAAAATTAAATACTAAAACACAAAATCCAGTAACTCAGGAAACTAACCCCATTTCAACTGCCTATAGCCAATGTGGCTAGCGGCTACTGTATTGGACTGCATAGGCTACATAATATTTCCATCATCACAGAAAGTTCTACTGAGCAGTGCCAACCTAGAAGATCCCAAGGGCTGCATCCTCATTGGTTTAACCTTCAAGGGATCCACTATTCGGTCGTGAGCAAGATTAAACTTAATTATATATTTAAAGAAAATACCTTAAAGCTTTCTGATCATAAAGTATGACTGGAACTAAGAAATGATTTGCCTTTTCATCACAACTTATGCCCCAGGTTATTGTACAAAAAAATGTTCCAAAGACAATGCTTTTTGATAGCCTACTTGGCTCTACTTAACATATTAAGCATTCTCTTGCTTAGGTCAAGATCATTAATAAAGGTGAAAATTCATGCTTCTTATAGTTTACTATTTACACAACACTCGTCCTTTACACAGAAGGGAAGGATGGAGGGAAACCAATGGCTTGCAATTTTAAAAATTCAAATGACATGGTTTCTTTTAAACTTCTGTAACTCATCCCCTAAATCAACCTTTCTTTCATTTCCCAGAGAGGTAGATGCTAACTAAAATGAATACCAGTATAGAAAGCTACACACACACACACACACACACACACACACACACACACACACACACACTTTAAAGCAAGTAAAGGGTTTTCATCCACCCTGAAGAAGATCATGCAGAGCCCATGACAGGCCTAGGAAGAAGTACAAAGTTCTTGTCTCCCTTTTGCTGCAGAATTTCAAGCAGCTCTATCAGTCTGTGGGCCTCAATGGACTCACCTACAAATGAAGCCACTGGAGGTTGCTTTCAACTCTAACTTTCTGTGCTTTCAGCTGTGACTTTTTCATTGATATGCAACTGTCAATGCTGGCCGATTGTGCCACTGGACTTTGGTCACATGGGGTCGACGAGTTGTTAGTGTTATGGGTTAATGCCAGAAGAGGCCAGAGCAATGGGATGCCAAATACCATTAAAACATCACGTCCATAAAAATTCTATCTGGCAGGCTAAGACATCACACACACACACACACCCTAACAAACAGGTGCACAAGTAACTGTAGGCAGAATTCATTCAAACAGTGTTTTTTATGTCAGTAAGACTCACATAGAAAATTCTGCTTTTGGTTGTTATTGTTATCCTAGGTTGTAAAGTCAAGGTTCTATCACGGAGCTGATTAACTTTGCACTGCTTAATTGCAGCTCTAGCATCGGATTGTTTTTAAGTAAAAGTTACGTGAATGGTAACTTGACTCAATATTTTTACACTAAGAAACACAGGGCACTATACTGTCACATACTTTAGTGTCTGTATATAACCTACTTAACACATAGAAGTCTATCAAATACTACACTACACGGCCGGTCATTTCGTACTGTACATAAACATATGTAGATATCATTTACAAAATTAATTGGAATATGGCATGGCTTAAAATTGCAAGGGTAAAGTCCATTTGAAATGTAGTGTTCTTAATGCAACATTTCTGTGTTTTTGGTGTTATTTTTTTCCCCCAAAAGGAATAGAAATTGGGTCAGATGTGCATTACAGCAGCCTGGTTCAGTTGGAGAAATTGACACTAACCCAACAGTATATTATGTTACATAATAGAGGATAGCATCCAGCTAATATGATACCTAAATTATTAATACCAAATAAATCCTAGATTTTTGTATAATGCCCAATAGTTTACACAATAAAATGGCATTTTAACCTAATATCTAGTTTGAGCTTTCAAATACATTTCCTAAAGGTCTTATGAAAAATTTGAAAGATTTGAAAAGCCCGAGTTCATATTTTTTTTTATTGAATCCTCATACCAATGAACAGTGTTGGCTCTGGATTCTAGTCATTATATTGTCATTTTATCTCTCCTAATTTCCATCACTTTAATGTGCATATTTTGTGCTGCTTGAAGGTCATAGCTAGCATATAAGTAAATTAAATTGTCTCCATCTTAGAGGGTTATTTCCAGCTTTGCTTTTTGGAGCCAGTCACTGCTTATCTTCCTCTCCCCTATTTTCATGGATTCAATGGAACATAAACATAGATATTTATGAGAGGAGTCCTTGTCACATACCACTTGCTTCAGGAATGTCATAAAGGAAATTAGAAGAGGACTGTAAAGCTCACAGCTATTTCCACACACACACACATCCAGCATAGGAATTCATCATTTTATCTAGCAAATCTTTCTTTGTGAGCATCTACAGACCATTACCCACTTAAGAATTTAGGATGAACTGGTCCATTTAAATTGAGAATGTGAGTTCTAGGTTTACCTCACCACTTTTCTCAATAAAAACACATTTCCAGACATAAGAGATATTCTTACTTATACAACAAAAGGAAACTGGAATTCGGAATGGTTCAACTCTCATGGAACAATAATCTCTTTCAAAAAATAACTGTGGACTGTCTATTAAAATGCCAGTCCAGGTTTATCATCGGTTAACAACACTCGTGACTATTACAATATTCCCAAACTGGGAGAAAAGACAGAAGGTTCTGTTACTCTCCATTTGTGCCTCACAACTTGACTGCACAAAAGAGGAGCAGGTGTTGGAAGTGACAAGTGTGTGACTCCTCACTGAGTGGGTCCCAATGCCCAGGAGGTAGGTGGCACTGTTTCAGACCCTGCACTCATTCATGCCTACTGAGTCTTACTACCAAGATTCTTCTGAAAAGATTCAAAACCCGAGGTAAACCGAATTACACACACATATAAACACACAATATTTACATTTAAAATTCTTATTTTGTGAGATGGCTTGAGAAAAATTGGCATATAGTTTTCCTGTGGGATTAGGCATTTCTCATCATTACTCAGTTTATTGCTCCCCTGTTGAGCTTTCCATTTAATAAACACATATCGAGCTCTAATTACAAGGGAAGAAAAATGAAGGAACACGACAAACAAAACACAATACATTGGAAACACTTGTTCAAATAGTTTCTTCAAAAAACGACGGTCCGCTTAACTTAGTTTAATTCGGGCGCCATTCAAAAAGTATAAAAAGCCTTAGCAACTAAGTGAAGACTGGGTTTCGCTTGTAAAAGGAAAGAAAACAGCACTGCGTGTCGTCACTGAATTGGTCATGGATTCATTCTCAGGTTGGATTCTACTTGTACACATAGCATCTTGGTTTTAATCTACCACATGTAGAGAAGATCACATCGTATGCACTTGCACAGGTCAATATCTAAATAGAATATGTCTATCTCATCACGTGACTTTGAAAAATCATAAGTTACAGTCCATTTTATAAATGACTACGAGGATGCATGCAATCGTCTTCGAAGCTGCGCCATCAATGCTCAGAGCGACCCGTCTGGCATCTTTGTTGAGACCTCACATTCTGCCCCTCCGTGTCTGTCTTGGGTTAATCAAGTGGCAGCCCGGAGGCCAGCGCTCGGCACCAAATGATCAGCGTCGCCCCCATCTTCTCACCCGAGTTCCATCATCAACGCCTGCTCCACCCCGAGTTGGCACCCACCAGTCACGCCCCCGCAGCCCGCTTCAGCCACAGGATATCACAGTGAAGCGCTTGGAAATGCAAGACATGTTGTGGAGCACGATGCCCAGCAGGAAGACCAGGACGCAGGCCACCAAGATCACAGTGCACACCCCCGACCAAGTGGAGCTTTTCACCACGCCCCGCCGGTCTGGCTCCTCCTCCGCTGCCTCTGGGGGAGCCCCGCCTTGCAGAGGCTGCTGCTCCGCAGGGATGGTCACCACAGTGACTGGCTTCTGCTGGCTCCCGGGCAGCAGGCGGCAGCCCATGTTTCCGGGCAGCAGCGCGCGCTCCTTGGAGATGGGAAGGGGCAGCATGTAGCACCCGTTGCTGGGAAGTTTGATGAAGACCGGGGTGTGCTCGGAGGCGTGCGGGATGGCGATAACAGCGAGGACCTCGGGGTCGTCGGGGAGCTGTGACACGGAGAAGCCCGGAGGCAGCTTGGTGATGCCTCGGCACCACGGGCACCTCACGTCCTTCTGGCTCGTCCTCATCTGCTGGAGGCACACCGAGCAGCAGGTGTGTTTGCAATCCAGCAACTTGGGCCTTCGCCGGGGACTGTAATAATTGAAACAGATCTGACATTCCAGCAAGGAATCTTGGGAGAGCGTCTCCATCGTGCACTGGGAACAGGAAGGTCAAGGCCACAGGGAAGAAGCTTGCCCTCAGAGGCCACTGCTCCAGCACCTGCCTTCTCTGAGGCTTCCCAACGTCGTGAGGTGATGGGGGAGCTCACAGGCATCGAGCATGCTCAGGTGTGTTCATTTCTGAAGGAGACAAAAAAATGCAGACAACGTTAGTTACTTCAAACAAGCTGAGACGGCAGCATATCTGATGGATTTACACCACTGCTCAAAAGTCTTGACACTAGGTCAAACGCTTAAAACTGCCCCACCTGTGAGACCGTAGGATTCCTGTAATGTCCAGTGGCCGGTGAATGGCTTATTACAGACGGCTTGTCATGGCACATACTTTGCTCATTTCTAAAGGCACAGATGCCTCTGGGGTAGATGGGTACACAGTGCCCCCATATTTCATAAAAGGGGGCGACTGTTTGTTTTGTATATTTCAGTGGACCTGGATTATTCTTCTAATACATCAGAGAAACTCTCTTGCTTCCAATAAGTTTGCAGAATTTTCTGAAAGTAAATTTCTTTCCTTCAATCTTCTGACCTTCTTTCGCTGACTCTCCTCCTCTTGCAGGTACTCATTGGCAAATGCAGCCAACTTTACAACCCAAGTACTTTGTGTAACTAACTTGCCCCTTTATATGGGTTAGGCCTGTTCCTCTCTCATAGGTCACTGGAATGATGCCAAGAACACACACACACAGGCATCTGTTATCTTTTCCACCAAGTCCTTTGAACCAAGGTAATTCTTGTCAATTGGTTCCAAAAGAGACAAAAACAAAACAAGACACAAAGTACAAGACACCACAACCAAAACCACCAGCAGCAATGAACCTTCAGGCAGCCGGGGTCACAAAGGCATACAGGACCATGAATATTTTTCAGGCAGTTCTATTCATTTCGCTCCTACGTAGGCTTGTACCAAGTAAGATGACCACAAGCAAAGACTGTTAATGAACTGATCCTAATCAAATATCATATAGTGAAAGGTTGTCAGAAGACTGGCAGGCAGCCTTCGCCATAAAAACAGGAGCACGGTGTTAGCCTCCTGGTGTGCACCAGAAGCAGAGTAACTGGGTACCACTTAACTGGGGCTGGAGGAACCCCTTAGTGCTCCAGCGGTGGCGATAAAGGCTGCCCAACTCCATTTCCTACTGAAAGCATTCAAATGTGTCTCTGGATGGAGCCATGATTCTGAAACGAACTACTCAACCACTATTGTAGAAATAATTGCGTCCTGGAAGCCCACCCACACACAGAGGCAGGAGCTAATGACATAGAAAAGCTCTTTCATGTTTTTCTTAAAAAGTGAACCTTCTTTTTCTTTTCTTTTTTTAAAATATACTTTTATTGATTTTAGAGAAGAAGGGAGAAGGAGAGAGAGATAGAAATATCAATGATGAAAGAGAATCATTGATCAGCTGCCTCCTGCACATCCCCTACTGGGGATCAAGCCTGCAACCCAGGCATGTGTCCTTGACCGGAATCTAACCTGGGACCCTTCAGTCCGCAGGCCGATGCTCTATCCACTGAGCCAAACCAGCTAAGGCGAACCTTCTTTTTCTAACTTCCTCTGTGAAATTAAGAATGCACAAGATGCCACGTGTTAAAGTCAAAATTAAGAAGAAGTTTAAAGTAAAAAATAATCACTTATAAAAATTAACAGTGATGCCCTGGCTGGGTGGCTCAGTTGGTTGGAGCATCATCCTGTACACCAAAATGTGGTGGGTTCGATCCCTGGTCGGGGCATGTATGGAAGGCAATCTCTCTCTCTCTCTCTCTCTCTCTCTCTCTTTCTCTCTCTCTCTCTCTCTCTCTCAAAATCAGTAGAAATGTGTCCTCAGGTGAGGATTAAAAAAAAAATTACCAGTGACAATCAAGAGAGCAACATATTTTAAAAATATTTTAGCTGTAGTAAGAGCCCCTACATTACATTATTAAAAGTAAAATATAGCAATGTAGCATTCAGAAAGTTCATATCATAATAAACTATTTATCCATCCACTGATTTAAGAAATGTTTATTGAATAATTAAAATTCACTAAGAGTAGAACTTTAATGTTCTCTCCAAAAGGAAAAACAAAGAATATAAACATGTTAGGTGACATATATGTTAATCAGCTAGATGGGGGGGGAATCCTTTCACAATGTATACATTTACCAAATCACCACACTGTACACTTTAAATATCTTATAGTTGTATTTGTCATTCAATTTGTCACAATAAAGCTGAAAAAATAAAAAAAAGAGTATCTATCATGAACAAATCCAGCTACTATAGGATATGAAGAAGAATCAGCCCCAAATCCAACACTTAAGCAATTTAAAGTTAGGTAAGAATGACTGTATATATTTTTCTCTTCCTTTCATTTACTCATTCAAATTTTCATTGAATATCTACCATGTTTCAAGCATGATGGTATTTGTTTTTGTTCCTTGTAGCTAAGACCTTGTCACTGCCCATAAGAAGCTCCCAGCCTGAAAGGACTCAGCAGTTATAAACACAAAGTGATGTGTGACATACAGGAACTGGAGGAATCAGGATGGCTCAGGGACTAGTCTGGATTATGGAGAGGATTTAGACATGTAAAATCAGAGGACAGGTCCTTTTCAGGTCAGAATCAGCCCGAGCAAAGGAAAGGAGGTTAGCAACCACAGGATTATTTCTATATAGCAGGCGTGACACTGACTAGGGGATTTTTTTCTAACAAGAGTAACTTAAAGATCCCATCTCTAAGAGTTTTCTAGTTTTAGCTCTTACTTTGAGGTTTTTGATACAGATACCTGTTAAAGAAACAAAGTTCTCACAGAACCTGCAAGCACCCTCCCACAGGCCCAGGCAGGGACAGCAGGTCCTACAGGGAGAGAAGAGATGAGCATAGCCAGGCATATGTCAAGGGCATGTACTTCAATGAGGCCGCTTCCTCACTGGCCAAGCAGGGAGGATGGAGTTGTGGCTGAAGGTCAAGTGAGTTCAGAGTCCACATACTGCCAGGCAGTGAAGGACTCAGCGCGTCCCGACTGTCCCTGCTACGCTGTGTGTGACCTGCCCAGAGGCACTTCGGGCTCTCAAAGAACTGCCCTTTCAAACAGATTGGGAGGAATGAGTGTTCCCCTTGGCCCTGCCCCAAGACCTGCCACACTTTCCACCCCGCCCCCCCCCCCCCCAACAAAACCAACATGCAATTTTACTCATGAATTTATGTTCCGAGTAATGTTCACTTAATTGCTTTTAAGCTTCCTTCAAATTAGATTATACTACTCAAATTTCCAACTCCATCCAAGTAAGCTCTAACCCTTACCATACAGGCTGAACACAAAAGCAGAACGGTGACACAGCTCCGTGCTCAACCACTCAAGCCACTTTGACAGCAGCCTCTCTGATTATTCACCGATTTGATCTCTATTAAGCCAGTTGGTACTGCATTCCAGTTTACTTTCTGGAGCATAACCAGTAATGATGATGATTAGTTAGGTAAAGAGAAGAACATTTATGAGACTATGGACCGAAGCTAATGATGAATCATTCTTCCTCCCTTTCATCATAAACTCAAAAGATGTGAGTCAATATAGAAGAAAGAGAATGGAAACAAGGGCCACATTAGCTAGAAAAGAAAACTCCAAGTTCATAGTCAAAGACACAAGCACACACCAGTGACTGCTTTAGAAGCCTGTGTTTGGCAAGATGGGATGCCCAAATACTCATTAAATTTAAAAGGAAAGAATGCTTTGCTGGAATGTATAAGAACAAGTATACACTGAAATATATTGGAACAATTTTTAAATGTCACCACAATTTATTTTGAAAGATCCTGAAGTAAAGAGCAAGGAGAAAAACAGACCACCAAAAGGGAGGGCATTCTCAAAAGAATTATGGCTTACAGGATAGAACTTACAGCTTCATAAAATGGTACTTAGTTTCATATATAATATCAATTGTACCATATGCAGATAACAGGCTTTGACTAATCATTGAACTCAATATTAATACATGCCTTGGTTTTAAAATACTTTAAAAAACGAATGGAGATGTACTTACATGGGGGAGGAGTGATTTGGGGGGAAAACTATCAAAACCCAAAGGGGTCTGTATTGCTGCTACTGTTTGGGGCAATAGATATCTGGCACTTTATAACATTACATATTTTCACAAAATAAAAATTCTTTAAATACTTTTAATTGATTTTTAGATAGAAACATCAATGTGAGAATAAAACACAGATCAGCTGCCTCCTGGATGCCCCCTACCAGGAACTGAGTCCATAACCTGGGTATGTGCCCTGACCAGGAATAAGCCAGCAACCTTTTGGTGCACAGGATGACACCCAAAACTGAGCCACACCAGCCAGGGCTAAAATTTCTTCTTTAAAAAACAACAACAACAAACTCTTATTTTAAGCATCTTTATAAAAGGTGTGAATATGACTTTAGTGACTGGTAAAATCACAAAGGTCTCCAACACTGAATTTTTATAAACTCTATTGCTTTTAGAAGTCCAGGCATGAGGGGCGGGGGGGGGGGGGAGCCAATGAAATAAATAATCCAGAGAGTTCTACTCTTATAATCTTTCACTATTATACTCTTTCAAAGACTCTTCATACATCCTGATTTAGGTTTGCAACATGGCATTAATTATGGAGCCTCAGAACTGTTGCAAGAACTGATATTGATTACGCCTGTCTGACCTTGAATTTTTCCATTTGATGATCTAAATGAGGACCTTAAATTCAATGGTTGTGGTGAGAAAAATCTCAGTCAGATATGAAACTAGACACTCTACTATTTTTCCTATACTGTTGAAACAGCAAGTCTTTCTGATGCAGGCCATTTCCTTCATTCTTCGAGAAAATGTAAATATTTGAAATGGGATTAGACAAAATAATTACAATTCCATTTAACTTGGTATTTCAGCTGGCGAGACCACTTAGTTATATTAGACATTAGTAAACACTTGGGTTAGTGGCAAGAAAGGGAATGGCTTGGTAGGATAGATGTCACTGACTTTTGGTCCTCTGGTAGCACAGAGCAATCCGTTCAGGGCACAACTGCCTAATCCATTTAGAGCACAATTGGTATAACTACTGTCTTTGTGTTAATGGGGAAGGTAGCAAATTCTGACACATCTCAAATGAGAATTCCATTGGCCAGTCTCTAATATTTGCACTGTTTTCTCCTATGAGCATCCTGGCTGGCTGTATTTGATGGTGCAAAGAATCCAGAAAGTGAAAATTGTCCTAAAAGTCTTGAATGACCATGGGGGGTGGGGCAGGGGATGGTGACAGTGCTGGAGGCAGACTGGCCCAAGTGGGACAGAGAGATCAATGGTGAAACAGACAGAGAGCAGCAGATGGGTCAGAATGCCAAAGTCAGGGGGACTTGCTACTAAAGGATTGGCCAAGTGGGACATCCACTGGCCTGACAGGCCTGACCACAACGTAGGTGCCATACCTGCCTATCTGCATGTGCTGATTCTGCTGCTGCAAAAATACAGCCTATCTGCATGTGCTGATTCTGCTGCTGCAAAAATACAGCTAACCAGGCAGCTTAAACAAAACCTCGAGTCAGGAAAAAGGATGAATGAATGAGTCATCCACAGTACAGTGATGTGTATTTAAAAATCAAAGAATATTGGAATGAAGACATTTTAAGGAATTAAAGATAAATTTCAGTATTGTTATGAGTGAAGATACCCACTGGTTTTTTTGTTGGTTTGTTTGTTTTAATATCTATCAGGTAATTATTATTATTAG